ACTCACACACCTCAAGCAATAGCTCTCTCATTTCTCTCAAGTTTAGTTTTGTAGTATCTAGCTGGTGGAATAGGAATAGAGTAGAAATCAGGAGTTCGGAAGTCTTCGGAAGAGTTCGGGTATGGCTCTATTAGCTTTTCTCTTTTATTTTGTCAGCTTTGTACTTTTATTAGAATACTCTTCTTTATACATTTATGGTATTGAAATACTTTCCGAGTATATGAGTACCTACTTTACATTATGTTCATGTTATACTGAATATACGGCTAGCTTATCTTTGAGATGCTTTGCTGCGGGTGTAGTGTTTGCTTATGCAATTACTCTATGTCATGACGATGATATTAGAGTAGTATCTGGTAGTTTAGACGTGGTGTCTAGATTACGGGATTACATTATTTGGGGTTATATATTGCGGATGAGAGGTCGGCCGCTGATGGTGACAGCTCAGTACGGGTATTCCTCCGCGCCGGTATATAATCCTAAGTTAATTCCCTGGGGAGGGTATTCCTCCGTATTTAGCCCCGGTTGTATGCTCATGACGGGCTGTCGTAAGGAACTCGGCAATCAGGGGTGGCTTCTCGAAGTACCAGGAGGGCATCGGATAGAGGGTATTAGCGAATATATCAGTTAACTAGAATGTATGTATACTATGTATATTAGAAGTATAGGAATAGATTTTCTTTCTCTTTTCTTTCCACTTAGCTTAGATAATATATTATGAGAATGAGTAGTTAATGCTTGTGTGTCACTCTACCCTTGGATTATCTTAACCCCTGCTTAGAATATAATTATCACAAGTAATATATAAATTATTAGTCGAGTTCTCTCTACTTGATCTTCCCACGGGATAAAATAAATACGATACCCTTGGAATACTCTCGGGTGAAATGCTACAATGGTATATCCGTGTGCTTGCGGATAAACTCTGCAACCATAATATACCAGAAGTATTTGTGTGCCATTGCTGGGAATTATATTTCTAGTAAAGCCGTTAAGAAATACCAATAAGATGGAAAGAAGGTTTTGAATAAAGATAGAGGTCTTGGGTTCGAACCATGTTTGCCACATTTCATCATGGATATGAGTTAAAAAAATCATACGAACTGTGTGGAGTGAGGTGTGACTGTGATAGGTGCCAAATAAAATGTGACATACTTGGATACTCCCTTCATCCTAAAATATAAGCGAATTTGGTTGGATGGGACATATTTTATATTTTGAGACAGATAGAGTAACAAACAATGAAACTTTTGTTAGTTGACGTGATCTGGTCACCACTTTAGTACAAAGTTCGTGTGTCCTAAGGGCATCCACAATGTACTAATAAAGTAGTCAATAAGCAATAAATGCACTCATCCAATCTAGTAGAAACCATTGTGGGGATAGATAACAACAATAACCAAGCAGTAGTGCTACTGCCAGCAGGAAAGAAATAAAATACAGTAGTGCTACTGCCAGCAGGAAAGAAATAAAATACAATATATGTATAGTGATTTCAGGCACATGCACTAAAATAATAGAGTAGCAGTTATAGCCGTTACATTTGCAGACATTGCAAACTTGCTGCCGCAACGCTACAACTTCATCCTCTACAAATACAAGCACAACTCAGTCATTTTTTCTGCATTCTATCAAACAAGATAGATCCCCCCAACAAAGGTTTTATGCACATGCTTAGCCAGGGCTCACCAAGCCAAACTTCTGGAAATGGTAGCCAAAATTCCACTTCTCCAAAATTCCCCTAAATTTTCTCCCAAACACGGTTTGCTCAATATTCAACACCCACTTTTCTATATGCCAATTCTACTCGAAGCTTCCACAGTTTTCAGCAGCAAGCACATTGGTTACAATCTACACGAGTGAACTTTCAAGGTTTTCGTCTACCAGGAAATTGGGTGTACTCACCAAATCAAATTATTGGGTTTGCTTCTTCCCACGGATCAGAATCAGCCTCTCAGTGCCTGCAAAACATGAAGAGAATAATGTGGTTAATATCGAAGAGTCCAGTGACAACAGTGAAGAGGCAAGGAGGAGAGGGGCACGAGTCAACTAGACTAAAGAGGAAAACATAAGACTCCTTAGCTCTTGGCTGAACAATTCAGTGGATCCCATCAATGGTAATGATAAGAAGTAAGAATAATATTGGAAGGTTGTTGTTGCAGAGTTTAACATCAATACATCTAAAAGTAACTGCAAAAGAACAGTCATGCAATGCAAGACACATTGGGGTGCTGTTAAGAAGGAAATTGGAATATTTTTTGGAGCTTATTCTCGAGCTAGAAGCACCTGGAGTAGTGGATACTCGGATAGAAAAGGTTCATATTATTTTTAAGACAAAATAATAAAAAACCTTTCACATAGGAGTACATGTGGAGAGAACAGAAAGATCAACCAAAATGGCGAAGGGTCTTAGAAGAAGATAACAAGAATAAGAGAACTAATATCTCTGAATCAGGTGCATACACATCATCATCCAATCAAGACACGGAAGTGGAGACCAGCCGCAAAGAGAAGCACCATGAGGGATAGAAAAAAAGGCAAAGCCAAGTTAAAAGGGAGATGTAAAAATGTTACACCTTCTCCTTTGGGGGACCAGCCATGTCAAGACTTTGTTTCTTACTATGAAGCTATAAAAGTAAAAGCAAAAGCGATTCTGAAATTTGCAGAAGCAAGATCGAAATCAGCTGAAACAAAGAAGGAGCAAACAAGAATGGAGAAGTATCACACACACTTAAAATTGTTGGACAAAGACACTTCAAATTTTAGTGATGCAAAACTGAAGGGACATGAAGCTGTTGATGAATAAATGATAACCAAGTGATGTTGTATCCCTAGTATTTAGTGTGCCACTATGTGGTCTATGGTCAATTGGCTTCTAGGATTTGGACTCGGCAATTATTAGACTTGTGAACTCAGTGATAAGTTTGTAAGCTAACTAAATGTTCTATTGTGAATTCAGTGAATGATAAATGTATCTTTTTACCTGCAGAAGAGGTTATGTACTGATAATATGTAGCCCACAGTCTTAATTATCTGAATTTGTTAGCCAATAATTTCTTAGCATTTCATCATAACAACAGCCTGCAAAATACATATGTAGCGGGCTAGCGGCAATAATTAGCACAATTATTTATAATCTTGCAGTTATGATAGCTTAAAACAGTTGTAAAATAAGACATGGATGTTTATAAAACAGTTGTTTAAATATATAAAAAGGAAGACATGGATGTTTATAAAACTATTGTTTAAATATATGAAATGCAAGACATGGCTACTTAAAATATAGTTGATGGAATACATCCAAACAGCAAGGCATAGCAAGGCATGTCTGTTGAGAATCTCGCTGTTCAAATTAATGCATCCAAACAGTAAGGCATGGATGCTTATAAAACTATTGTTTAAATAAAGGCATCCTCTCTATTCCCATACATTGCTTCTGCTTTTATTTTTATAGCTTCATTGCAAGGAACAAAGTCCTGAGACGGCTGGTCCCTCAAAGGAGAAGGTGCGACATTTTTACCTCTCCCTTTTAGCTTGGCTTTGCCATTTTTCTATCCCTCATGGCGCTTCTCTTTGCGGATGGTCTCCTCCTCTGTGTCTTGATTGGATGATGATATGTATGCTTGATTGGATTATGATGTGTATGCACCTGATTTAGATATCTTAGTACTCTTATTCTTTTTATCTTCTTCTAAGAACCTTCGCCATTTTGGTTGATCTTTCAGTTCTCTCCACATATACACCAATGTGAAAGGTTTTTTTCATTATTTTCCGACTTAAAAATAATATGAGCCTTTTCCATGATCATATCATCATAGTATCCACTACTTCAGGTGCTTCTATCTCGAGAATAAGCTTTACAAAATTTTCCAATTTCCTTCTTAACAACACCCCAATTTACTAAATTTTTCTATAAATTTAGTCAAACATAAAGAAATTTGATTAAAAAAAGACAAACGACTTATAATATGAAAAGAAGGGAGTATTTGGTAACCATTTGCTCTTGCCAAAAATAAATGGCAAAATTGGTACTTTTTTTTCATTCTTTTTCTAGTCACACTTATGTATGCTTGACCAAAATTATAAGAAAACATAAAATTTTCAACATGAAACAAATATATTACTCCCTCCTCCCTAAAAAAAATATAGTACTCCCTCCACTTCACATTATTAGTCGTTTAAATTTTTTTCTTTGTTTAACTTAAAGAAGTTTGATGAAATTTATAAAAAAGTTTAGCAACATCTACAACATCATATTCGTTTTATTAAAAATAACATTTAATATATTTGGTTAACATATTTGTTTTATATTGAAAATATTTTAATATTTTTCTATAAATTTGGTCAAATTTAAATCATCTAACTATAAGAAAAATCAAAGCGACTTATAATATGAAATGGAGAGAGTGTCAAAATATGTTTAATGTTAGATTGAATAAAACTAATTTGGTGATTTAGATGATGTTAATTTTTCATATAAACTTGATTAAACTTGATCAAACCTAAAGATATTGGACTAGAAAAAAAAGTCAAAATGTCCTGTATTACGAGGGAGAATAGTGCTCCAAGCCAACAGTAACACAGGTATGCGTTTGCGGCTGTTGCAATGCGAACCCTTCTGATCAAATTCAACACCGGAACCGATGGTGGAGTTTCAAACTCCAGCTCTGGCTACAAGTATTCCATGTTTTCAACCATATTTGAGACTGGAAAAGAAACATGGTTTCGGAATCACATGATATTTTGAATTTAGGGGAACTACTGCACAAGCCTCCCAATGCATTGGGCCTCAACCAAGCCCATCTGTTACATACAATTCGATCGAATGGCATACGACTGCATGCCGGTAGCGTCCCTGCGACCTGGGCATCCAAGCTCTACCATCTTTTGCGATCGATCTTGCGACGACAACACCAACACCGGCGATGAGCTCGACCAGCCGAAGGCCGACGAGGATGGCGACCGCCTGAGCGCGTTGCCGGACTGCCTCGTCCACACGATCATGTGTCCTTCCTCCCGGCGCGGCAGGCCGTGCAGACGTACGCGCTGTCCCGGCGGTGGCGTGACCTGTGGCGCTCCATGCCGTGCGTCGTCATCGATGGCCACGAGTTGAGGTCCACGATTGCAAACTCCACGGCGAGCTGGTTGAGCTGGACAAATTAGCTGGAGGATTTCACCACCAACCTGCTCATCGCCCACAACGCCCCGTACTGCCTCGACAGATTCCAGCTGCATCTCCCAAACTACCGTGACATCGTAGGACAACCCGACATATATATGCCTCGACACAAGAGAAGATGGATCATCAGTGGCTTCCGGTGCCGGCCCGTGGTGCTCGAGATTAACCATTGGCGAAACCGTCGCCATTCACCGGTTCGGGCTGCCTCTCCTCGGCGCCATCTCTGCTTGCCGCCTGAAAACTTTGCATCTTTCCAGCAGGGTTTTCAATTTCGAACTTGGTTTTTCAGTCAGGGGAACCGAAATTTCAGAAATTTCGTTTTTTTTTTGGCCGAAATTATTTGAAATTGTGACTGTTTTGAATGAATTTGAACAAAATTTGATCAAATTCAAAAAATTCGCAAAAAAAAAAACCAAAAAATTTGGGTGAGATGTGAGCTTGCTGGTGGGGGGCAAAATTACCGAAATTTCAAACCCTGCTTTCCAGCATGGTTTTGGACGGCAGATTCCGTGAGTGTATCCGTTCTCGGTGCCCCGTCCTGGAATCCATGGAGCTCAAGAACTGTACGGTTCGAGTTCAGTCAGATTGTTTGTGGCACACTCAAGAGTTTGGCCATTCATGACTGCTCTGGAAGAGATGCTTTGGCTGTCACGGCGCCAAAGCTCACCTCCTTTCGCCTATGGTATTCAGTTATTGGTCTCGTTGTATTTTTAGTGGATGAGATGGATTCCCTTGTCGAAGCATCGAACTGACGAAACGAATCTAAATGTTTCATTATGCTTGTATGGATAAAAAACATCCATGTCGATGATGATAAATAACAAAAACATTTTTTACAAGTTTAAGGTGAGAGTCTTTGTTTCATAACAAGAAGAAAAAACATACTATCAGTCATTAGATATTGTTCTAGTGCTGAAAAAAATGATTATTAATATGAAAAACTCTGTCAATTGATAAATCGACAAGCCTTACTTATTCGCTTTAATATCGATGCCAGAATGTAATAGTTATTAATCTTTGGACTGAAATATATATAAGACCAAGTTCATTTTATAATGTATTCCTTTCGTCCTAGCAAGTTTTATCTTTTAGCATGGTTATTGAAAGGAGGGGTCAAACAAACATGTTTTCTTTCTTGAGGCGCGTTAGGTACAAATTTAAACTTTACGAGATGTTATATTTTACGGGGAGATTTAACTATTTGCCGCTCTTAAATTTGGCATTCAACTATTTGCAACCCATATATCATGACATGTGGACCATCATGTGTCAATGATGTGTGGGTCTACGTGACAAATCATTTTTAATTACCACATCTAAGAGTTGCAAATACTTAATTTTTCCTAACGACAGAGGGAGTACATTTCTTTTGCACTATAGTTTGTCCCAGCTCACAGCTAGCTTCTATCTATTATATTATACTTTGGGCCTGGCACTCATTACATTATTGACCTTTTGTTTTGTCAGGTGCATCTATTTATATTTGTACTATTACTTCTTCTATCGCATCTATAATGACTTCCAAACTAATTTATAATGTTGATCATGTCAAACTCAATTCTCCTTCCAATTATTACAGGAGAAGCATTGTAGCAAATCTATAAATATTCTGACATTTCAAAAGCTGACAACCTTGCGCTTCTGTGCATGTGATCTGGGCCAAAATTTTTATATATTGTCGAGATTTTTATAGAATGCTCCTAATCTGGAGAAAGTTATATTGGCAAACTGCAAGGTACTTCTATTTTTTTTTATGTTCATCTTGTTACTCTGCTTTTGGTCTATCCTCTCACTACCATCATGTGTGGTGTTCCAATAGATTCCAGATAATTCAAGAAAGAGTAAAATAATGGCAAGGCTAATCTTGCACGGTCCTTCCAAGCGTGAAAGTGTGATAATGTTCGAGTCCCAGGACTTGAAGCTTATCATGATCACGTATAAAGATGACGATATCAGTGACAGTATTGAACTTTTGCTGTACAGTCGCAGAAAACTTGAGAACAACACAACAATACTCACAAAACATTGAGTCCTTTGCGTATTGTATTTGCATTCTCATGTCATTTTCCATTGTACTATGACTTGCTTTTACCAACAGTAAGAAAAAGCATGAGATCTTTTACTGTGTTTACGAGGTACCTAGAGGTATTTGTAGGTGGAACAACGTGTACGGTTAATCAGGAGAGGAGCAATGTATGGAACAAAATTATTGTAACATGATGGCAGTGGAGTAATTAACTTGTAAAACATGGGCACTATACATGAATTGAATACAAACATCCATCTGTCAGTATATTGTTGTGCAGATCAGTATGCCATGAGAAAAAAAAAAGTAAATCACTGGTATCCGTTATTTCAGTAGTGATCAATCCGATTTGTACCAGATCGCATCTCCATTACTCTTCCCTTTGCTTCGATCTTGTTATAGGGTTTAAACGGTTCACCGGAAGGAGACAGAGGGAAGAGTGTTGGCATAGTTGAGGGTTGAAGAGGAGACTAGATCGTCTGGTCAAAGTCAACCTAGTGCATCTGTAAGTTATCATATGCTTATTTACATGCTTGATTAGTTATTTATGTAGTTCATAAATTCCTTATATAAGGGATTAGAATTTTTGTCAATTTGTGGGATAGTAAATGAGATTTTCTCCTACGATGTTCTTCTAGGGCCTGCTTGGTGCAGCTACAGCTCCTAGATTCACCTCTGATCTAGCTGGAGCCCAACCAAACGGTCCAGCTCCAAAAAAAAAAAAGTGGAGCGGAGTAAACCAGATCGCTCCTACAAAGTGAACTAGCTATGTGGAGCGGTATTTTGGTCGCTCCACAACTCCAACTCTGTCCCAATTTCAGAAGTACCCATTGACTTGTAGAGAAATTACCCGCAAATGCCATTCAACTATCCCTCCATCCCTCCCCTCTCCCCCACCTAGTACTGCTTCACTCCTCCTCCCTTGACATTCGCGACATGCGGGAGGATAACCAAGTGATAGTTATTGAAATATTTTTTTCCTTGCCACACCTATTTTGGATCCTTGCTATGCGGCATGGTGCAATAACGGTTGTGTGCTCCCCTAGCAGATTTTTCCAAGCAGTTCAATGTTTATCACCAGACCATCTTAGGGACATACGATCATTAGGTTTTGGTGGCTTATTACACATGAAAAAAAATCAGTTGTTCGTCGAATTATGTTGGTTAAGGTTGCTAAACGATTCAACATGGAAAAGAATAGTTTTGTCATAGGGGGAAAGGATATCCCAATGAACCTATCATATGTGGAGAACATTATGGGTCTACCCATCTTTGGAGAAAAAATAGAAATATGCAGAGACGGTCCTATCAGCGATGATTTGCTACATGCATATAAAACACCAGGGGGAATTGTATCACTTTCAAAAGTCTAGAGACTAGCATCTTATCCTCAAAGGTTCCAGATGACCACTTCAAATGACAGTTTGTGCTATTTACAATAGGACAACAAACAACATATTACCATGTTAATGCAATGTATTTGGCACTGGTTGAGGATGTGGAAAAGATTTCCAAGTATAACTGGGGAGAATTCACAATGCGTCATTTATTGGACTGCATTTCTACTTTAAAAGACCATGTAAATCTTTAGGGTAATCTTGCCCTTCTGCATGTATATTGTACTATCCAAGTGTGATCAACTCAATTGTCAAATTTGCATACTAAATATTTGCTTAATCTCACTCTTTTTCTTGGTTTGTGCTTAGTCCTTACAATTCCTTATTTATATTTTTTGTTGGTCATTTACTTGTTCTAGCTTGCTTTACTTTACTTCCACAGGTTTCAACGATGACTATGTTTTGACAAAAGAGGATAACGAGGTCGACAAACACGGATTTGTCATAATTTTTCTTAACAAATTGTACTGCCTCGTTATCCTCTTTTGTCAAAACATAGTCATCGTAAAGTAAAGCAAGCTAGAACAAGTAAATGACCAACAAAAAATATAAATAAGGAATTGTAAGGACTAAGTACTGACCAAAAAAAAGAGTGAGATTAAGCAAAATATTTAGTATGCAAATTTGCAATTGAGTTGATCACACTTGGATAGTACAATATACTTATATACCTACAGAAGGGCAAGATTACCCTAAAGATTTACATGGTCTTTTAAAGTAGAAATGCAGTCCAATAAATGACGCATTGTGAATTCTCCCCAGTTATATTTGGAAATCTTTTCCACATCCTCAACCAGTGCCAAGTACATTGCATTAACATGGTAATATGTTGCTGGTGCCAACAGTCGTCCTATTGTAAATAACACAAACTGTCATTTGAAGTGGTCATCTGGAACCTTCGAGGATAAGATGCTAGTCTCTAGACTTTTGAAAGTTACACAATTCTCTCCTAGTGTTTCATATGCATGTAGCAAATCATTGCTGATAGGACCGTCTCTGCGTACTTCTATTTTTTCTCCAAAGATGGGTAGACCCATAATGTTCTCCACATATGATAGGTTCACTGGGATGCACTTTCCCTCTATGAAAAAACTATTATTTTCCATGTTGAATCCTTTAGCAACCTTAATCAACATAATTCGAGGAAGAACTGATTTTTTTCATGTGTAATAAGCCGCCAAAACCTAATGATCGTATCTCCCTAAGATGGTCTAGTGATAAACTTTGAACTGCTTGGACAAATCTGCTAGGGGAGCACACAACCGTCATTGCACCATTCCGCGTAGCAAGGATCTAAAATAGATGTCGGAAGGAAAAAAATATTTCAATAACTCACATAATTATGTAAATCAAACACATTTCAGTGAGTAACAAAATTAATAAATCAGGAGAAACATGCATGTGACTCACAACAAGAATTATGTAAATCAACACAAACACATTCGAATGACTCACAAAATTAAGTAAATTAGGAGAAACATGCATGTGGTTCACGAAAAGAATTATGTAAATCAACACAAAGACATTTAAAGACTCACAAAATTAAGT